TGATGAAATAGAGCATAATAATGTTTGGATTTCATTATTATTATAAATGAAATGGACAGATTTTTCACTCAATTTGTAAAATAACTGAAACAAATTTGTGGAAATTCCATATGGAACACATTGACTGTAATACACACATATCTGTAAATTGTTGTGTGTGTGTTGGTGTGTGGGTGTGTGGGTGTGTGGGTGTGTATTAGACGGGTTCTGAACTTGTTTTCCAGAGCACATAAAAGGACCCGGAGTGTCATGGAAAGAGGTATAGGCCAGCTCAAGAGACGGTTCCATGTCTTACATGGAGAGATTCGCCTTTCTCCAATTAAGGCATGTTAAATCATAACATGTTGTGGAATTCTGCATAACATCTGCAAGATAAGGAATATCCCATTACCTGACAGTGAGTCCAATGTTCCGGATGACGACATGACAGCCCCCTACAGAGAGAGAGATATTCCTGGCCACAACTTGACCTTCAGGAATCACTTTGCAAACACTCACTTTCAGTGTGAGTGATAATTCTTCTTTTAATTGAGTAAAACCACTATTTAATGAATTATATTCAACAACAAAAAAATTCAGTAATAAAACAGTTTATTTTAACAAATAAGAGTATAAGAATCAGTTGATAAGGTTTACCTTTTTTCAAAAATAATTCACAAACAATTTATAACAACTGGTTAATAAAATTAATATGGTTACTATAATTGTTAAATATGATATATAATTTGTGAATCTCAAGGATCATTAAAAATGCTCAAGGGTTCATTTGCAATGCATTTTCCCAGTTTACTTACCCGGTATATGAAAATACATTTATCTTCTTGTAAGAAACATTTTATGACAGACAGATTTTATTGTAGTAAATTCAAAAGAACGATAGTACATAAAGTCTTCAATACATAATCATTATTGTTGAAAGTTAAACACATTTAAATTCTTCCCGCATTTCTTATACATATTTCAGAAATTTAGCAAATACATGTTGTAATACATATCACAATTTCTTGGAAGTAACTGGCCCTGTATGTCATATCAAATACAGTGACACAGAATAAGATATTCATCCTCACTGGCCACTGGCCATAGATAACAATCCTTTTTAGCACTGATAAACATACCTGTCAGGTGATAGTCTCAACAGACGGAGCCAGTACTTTCTACAATTAGTGACATAGACACCCCATAATGGACATCTTCCAGTTTTGCGATAAGTAACACAATTTGATGACTAGTACCCTATTCCTGAAATAGATTAACAAAATCTTTTGTGGATCATTTTGACATTATCCTGAACTGTATGCCTCCTTGTTGTGGGAACAATATTCTTATAAAAATATGAAAGGCATTCAACACAGATACACAATACTGTTCAATGAAATACTTAACTGGAAAAAGTGTGTTACAAGCTTAGTCGGCTAAGGTCTTACATTTTAATGATTTTATCCATATCATTGGCACCCAAATACGAAGATTTTGAACCCTGAAATGCAATGTTGCTGTAAGCAATAGTAAAACATGAGAATATGGTTGAATGAAAACACATTCAAATTATGACATGTTATCAATGTATCTATTGATAGAAATGACATTTCACACACTGTTACCTCACACATTAACCAATATTATATTATTGAAGATAAATATAAACTAAAAAGGAGTATGGTTCTGTCAAAAAAGGTTTCACATCTTTCTCTTCAAAGAATACATTACATTTTGAAAACATATGGTAAACTCTCTGGCCTTAAAAAGTGATATGCATACATGGTATAGATATAAATTCTATTCATTCTGCAGTTTTTGTAGTTGAATTTCCATAATTTTCTTCTTAAGACTTAAACAATCAGTTTCAAGTTTAAGTTTCTTGTGGAGTAGCTCATCATAACTTTCCCCCAACAGGAAAGTTTGTCGCGAGGACTTTGGCTCCTGGACAGTGCTCCATCCTGCTGATCTCTTCATGGATCCCAGTGCTGAGGAGGCGGTATCTGGCACTGATGGTTCCGGCTGTGAAGGCACAGACACTGTTGATGCAGTAGGGACAGCTGCTCCCATGGCCTGGAGTGTCTGCAAGTCGAGTGCTGCCATGTCACTGTATTCACTGTATATAAATGGACAGAAAATGTTTTAGTCATTGTTATTTTTGAGTATCTATGTATCTGAATAGGGTAAAAATATGAGGTAATATTCAGTTTCAAACACATGGAGTCATCACTGATTTTTAGTGATCCCTTCAAATACTTTTCACCACAATCTTGCACTTTACAGGATTTGTTTAGGTGGATAATCAAGATTGGTTATTCTCTGTTATTGATGTGTTATATAATTTAATATGGATGCTTTTATAGTTATGTGTATGACCACTTATACACAGGAGGTACTTTGCTAACATAATAGTTTTTCATAGCAAATCATTTAAGTAGAGTTATGCTATATGATTGATTATACTCAATACAAGGGCAAGGGAATACATCAGTAGAATTACCTTGCATTAACTGTGTCAGAAAGGCTGACCACCTGTAGGAGGGATGTGTCCATGGCTGATGGGATTCCAGATATGGATACATTATTCTGCCCCAGAATATCCCACACTACCTCTGATGTGGCACTCAAAGTAGGGCATGGTGATGGACCACCACCTGTCAAAGTAAAAAAATATTTTTACTTACATAAGAAAAATTGAGAAAGTTTTATTCCGAATCAATGTGTTAAATAATACTAAAGTAACAATTGAAGACAACCTTACAATTTGTTTCAAATTTAGGAATCTTTATAAATATGCACATTCATCATGACTAACCTAAGAATTGTATACATATGTAAATTCAAACTTTTAAGAATTGATTATACTCTGTATGGGACACCAAATACAAATATTTTTACTTGAAAGCTAGCACAGACAATAATTGTAACACATTAAGATTAAATGTATCTCAGATCTTGTGATTTATGCACTCTAAAACTACTATTACAGTTCAGTGTTGCAAAATGTGAACTACAATAATTACCTGTGCTGATAACACCTTTCAATTTCTCCCCTGGCTTTACTTTGGATGTTATGCCATTTCTTTTCCACCTCTTCTGGGGCTCTGATGCATCCTATGATTTACATAAAAATATTCAATTCTCAACTGTGTAATGTAAATTTCAGAAATAAACGAATAGGTACTGGATCGGACACTGTAATATAACTGATAACCTGTACAATAACATTTATTTTTTTCTTTCCCTGAAAATAAATTTATGTTAACTAAAATATAGATCTAATACAATACAATCTAGTTCTATCCAAAAAAATTCTTCCGATTTTATGTGCGTTGCTGCTGTGAAAATTTGCAAAATACTAAAATCTTGAATAACAATAGAATTTTGAACATTATTTGAATCTTAAATATATTTCAATACCAAAAAGTGGCACATTGTCAAACTATCTTTATGGTCTGCCATACCTGGAAAGGCTGCGTTGATCGTGTGGGTCAACTCCATCCACTTTTCCTTTTTCTTTTGAGCTGTCACGCCTGCCCCGAACTTTCCTAATAAAACCGCTTTGTTTTCGTCAACAAGTTTCGTCAGGAGAAGGGTTTGGTCCTCAGACCAGTTGGGTTTTCGCTTTTTGTCAGTCATGTTCGCTGGCTGCCGTCGATATTCCCGCCGATCGAAAATAGGTCGTCTGCCAAAACTTTTGACTTTCGCGTTTCCAACACTGAAGAGTCGTGTTTTGTTGCTATTTATAGATAAGGGAATCTCCAAAACGTCACTCAAAGGTGTTAAGAATATTCTTAGTCAAAACTTTATATCCCAAGATGCAGCGGGGTAGACTAAGAAAAATCTTAGATATTATTCTAATACTTTGCTAAGAATCATGCTTAGACTGTTTGTGAATTGATACTTAAGATTTTTTCTTAGCTAAGAATTTTTAAGAAAACTTAAGTCAATTTCTAAGAAAATTCTAAGAAGCTTTGTGATTACCGCCCCAGGCATTACCTTTCAACATGACAACGCATGGCGTCATATTGCTCGACTTGTTCACGATTCTCTTCAACAAAACAACGTGAATGTCATCCCCTGGCTGGCTCGCTCCCCTGATCTCTCACCAATCGAGCACATGTGGGATGAGATTGATCAGCGCCATCGACGTCAACCACGTGTTCCACAGACACTCCAGGAACTTCGAAACATGCTCCAGGAGATATGGACAGATATCCCACAGGACTTTGTGAGACGCCTGGGGCGGTATTCACAAAGCTTCTAAGAAATTGACTTAAGTTTTCTTAAAAATTCTTAGCTAAGAAAAAATCTTAAGTATCAAGTCACAAACAGTCTAAGCATGATTCTTAGCAAAGTATTAGTATAATATCTTAGATTTTTCTTAGTCTACCCCGTTGCATCTTGGGATATAAAGTTTTGACTAAGAATATTCTTAACACCTTACGAGTGACGTTTTGGAGATTCCCTTATCTATAAATAGCAACAAAACACGACTCTTCAGTGTTGAAAACGCGAAAGTCAAAAGTTTTGGCAGACGACCTATTTTCGATCGGCAGGAATATCGAAGGCAGCCAGCGAACATGACTGACAAAAAGCAAAAACCCAACTGGTCTGAGGACCAAAACCTTCTCCTGACGAAACTTGTTGACGAAAACAAAGCGGTTTTATTAGGAAAGTTCGGTGCAGGCGTGACAGCCCAAAAGAAAAAAGAAAAGTGGGTGGAGTTGACCCACACGATCAACGCAGCCTTTCCAGGTACAGCAGACCATAAAGATAGTTTGTGCCACTTTTTGGTATTGAAATATATTTAAGATTCAAATAATGTTCAAAATTCTATTGTTATTCAAGATTTTAGTATTTTGCAAATTTTCACAGCAGCAACGCACATAAAATCGGAAGGAACTAGATTGTATTGTATTATATTTTATTTAACATAAATTTATTTTCAGGGAAAGAAAAAAATAAATGTTCTTGTACAAGTTTTCAGTTATATTACAGTGCCACATCCCGTACCTATTCGTTTATTTCTGAAATTTACATTACACAGTTGAGAATTGAATATTTTTATGTAAATCATAGGATGCATCAGAGCCCCTGAGGAGGTGGAAAAAAAATGGCATAACATCCAAAGTAAAGCCAGGGGAGAAATTGCAAGGTACAAGCAAGGTGTTATCAGCACAGGTAATTATTGTAGTTCACATTTTGCAACACTGAACTGTAATAGAATCTAGTAGTTTTACAGTGCATAAATCACCAGATCTGAGATACATTTAATCTTAATGTGATACAATTATTGTCTGTGCTAGCTTTCAAGTAAAAATATTTGTATTTGGTGTCTTTAAGTACATTTTGGTGTCCCATACAGTGTATAATCAATTCTTAAAAGTTTGAATTAACATATGAATGTACAATTCTTAGGTTAGTAATGATGAATGCATATTTATATAGATTCCTAAGTTTGAAACAAATTGTAAGGTTGTCTTCAATTGTTACTTTAGTATTATTCAACACATTGATTCGGAATAAAACTTTCTCAATTTTTCTTATGTAAGTAAAAATAATTTTTTACTTTGACAGGTGGTGGTCCATCACCATGCCCTACTTTGAGTGCCACATCAGAGGTAGTGTGGGATATTCTGGGGCAGAATAATGTATCCATATGTGGAATACCATCAGCTATGGACACATCCCTCCTACAGGTGGTCAGCCTTTCTGACACAGTTAATGCAAGGTAATTCTACTGATGTATTCCCTTGCCCTTGTATTGAGTATAATCATTCATATAGCATAATTCTACTTAAATGATTTGCTATGAAAAACTATTATGTTAGCAAAGTACCTCCTGTGTATAAGTGGTCATACACATAACTATAAAAGCATCCATATTAAATTATATAACACATCAATAACAGAGAATAACCAATCTTGATTATCCACCTAAACAAATCCTGTAAAGTGCAAGATTGTGGTGAAAAGTATTTGAAGGGATCACTAAAAATCAGTGATGACTCCATGTGTTTGAGACTGAAGATATTCCCTCATATTTTTACCCTATTCAGATACATAGATACTCAAAAATAACAATGACTAAAACATTTTCTGTCCATTTATATACAGTGAATACAGTGACATGGCAGCACTCGACTTGCAGACACTCCAGGCCATGGGAGCAGCTGTCCCTACTGCATCAACAGTGTCTGTGCCTTCACAGCCTGAAGCATCAGTGCCAGATACCGCCTCCTCAGCACTGGGATCCATGAAGAGACCAGCAGGATGGAGCACTGTCCAGGAGCCTAAGTCCTCGCGACAAACATTCCTGTTGGGGGAAAGTTATGATGAGTTACTCTACAAGAAACTTAAACTAGAAACTGATTGTTTAAGTCTTAAGAAGAAAATTATGGAAATTCAACTTCAAAAACTGCAGAATGAATAGAATTTATATTTATACCATGTATGCAAATCACTTTTTAAGGCCAGAGAGTTTACCATATGTTTTCAAAATGTAATGTTTTCTTTGAAGAGAAAGATGTGAAACCTATTTTGACAGAACCATACTCCTTTTCAGTTTAAATTTATCTTCAATAACATAATATTGGTTAATGTGTGAGGTAACAGTGTGTGAAATGTCATTTCTATCAATAGATACATTGATAACATGTCATAATTTGAATGTGTTTTCATTCAACCATATTCTCATGTTTTACTACTGCTTACAGCAACATTGCATTTCAGGGTTCAAAATCTTCGTATTTGGGTGCCAATGATATGGATAAAATCATTAAAATGTAAGACCTTAGCCGACTAAGCTTGTAACACACTTTTTCCAGTTAAGTATTTCATTGAACAGTATTGTGTATCTGTGTTGAATGCCTTTCATATTTTTATAAGAATATTGTTCCCACAACAAGGAGGCATACAGTTCAGGATAATGTCAAAATGATCCACAAAAGATTTTGTAAATCTATTTCAGGAATAGGGTACTAGTCATCAAATTGTGTTACTTATAGCGAAACTGGAAGATGTCCATTATGGGGTGTCTATGTCACTAATTGTAGAAAGTACTGGCTCCGTCTGTTGAGACTATCACCTGACAGGTATGTTTATCAGTGCTAAAAAGGATTGTTATCTATGGCCAGTGAGGATGAATATCTTATTCTGTGTCACTGTATTTGATATGACATACAGGGCCAGTTACTTCCAAGAAATTGTGATATGTATTACAACATTGCTTCTCTTTGTACATATCTCAACCAGAACTAATTATAAAATTTGCTAAATTTCTGAAATATGTACCTATAAGAAATGCGGGAAGAATTTAAACGTGTTTAACTTTCAACAATAATGATTATGTATTGAAGACTTTATGTACTATCATTCTTTTGCCTTTACTACAATAAAATCTGTCTGTCATAAAATGTTTCTTACAAGAAGATAAATGTATTTTCATATACCGGGTAAGTAAACTGGGAAAATGCATTGCAAATGAACCCTTGAGCATTTTTAATGATCCTTGAGATTAACAAATTATATATCATATTTAACAATTATAGTAACAATATTAATTTCATTAATCAGTTGTAATAAATTGTTTGTGAATTTTTTTTAAAAAAGGTAAACCTTATCAACTGATTCTTATACATTACTCTCTTATTTGTTAAAATAAACTGTTTTTTTACTGAAATGTTTTGTTGTGGAATATAATTCATTAAATAGTGGTTTTACTCAATTAAAAGAAGAATTATCACTCACACTGAAAGTGAGTGTTTGCAAAGTGATTCCTGAAGGTCAAGTTGTGGCCAGGAATATCTCTCTCTCTGTAGGGGGCTGTCATGTCGTCATCCGGAACATTGGACTCACTGTCAGGTAATGGGATATTCCTTATCTTGCAGATGTTATGCAGAATTCCACAACATGTTATGATTTTACATGCCTTAATTGGAGAAAGGCGAATCTCTCCATGTAAGACATGGAACCGTCTCTTGAGCTGGCCTATACCTCTTTCCACGACACTCCGGGTCCTTTTATGTGCTCTGGAAAACAAGTTCAGAACCCGTCTAATACACACACACACACACAACAATTTACAGATATGTGTGTATTACAGTCAATGTGTTCCATATGGAATTTCCACAAATTTGTTTCAGTTATTTTACAAATCGAGTGAAAAATCTGTCCATTTCATTTATAATAATAATGAAATCCAAACATTATTATGCTCTATTTCATCACTCAGTGATTGAACATGAGTAGTCAATAATTACTGTGAAGTGTCTAAGCCCTTTTGAACTCCAATAACGATTATCCAGTCTGTTAGGTGAATGGACAGATGTTTTAGTCACTTGATATAATGACTGAAAAATTTAGGCTTTTTATAAATTGCCAAAGTGAATCACATTTTACACATTGACCGTAATATATATATCAATCTCATTAAAATCAGACCTTAGTTCTCGCTACCGCTAAACAAAACTTTGTTTAGCGGTAGCGAGAACTAAGGTCTGATTTTAATGAGATTGGATATATATTTTTAGAACATTTTTTTGTTTTTTTATTATTATTATAATAGTTGAATTGATTTCTATGTATTTCTGGATTATCTGTCATTACATATATTTAATATTTTTATATGGGTAATTTCTTAATGTTTACTTTCGATATATATATGCACAACCAAATATCTTTTCACATTTGAACACTTAAACTTTTCACAACAACCAATTCTCACTTTTGTAATTTTGAAGGGGAATAACTCTCATTACGATTGCGTGTTCACGATTGTAGGAAAATATTACCGATTGTAGGATGTCTGTGAGCCAGGATTTGGTCTCAGGTACGGAGTAAGCAGCCAGTTTCTGCAGGGTTAGCCACTATCTCCAAGTAGGTGACATCCGGTTGGCACGATGTGTCGTTCAAATAAAATATGAAGTCCGCTTTCGGTGAGTATTCTCGAGTCGTGTGTGGAGCCTGGCCACTTCGCAACAAGGTCAATTTATCTTGTTGTTTGGATCAAATACAAGCTGTGTGTTAATACTGTGGTACTGTTTATGATTTACATATGAGGGTTCGTCAACAGATGGTGCAATAATCTGCACATGGGATCCATCAATCACACCAACAACGCCAGGGAAGTGAGCGATGTTGTAAAACGCCGCTTGATTCCGACGAATGCCAGCCTGCGTTGTCGGAAAGTGAATAAACTGGGATGCTATATCGGCGTCGGACAAAGCTGACACTGTCTGCTCTATCGCTCGACTGACCGACGATTGGGAAAGACCCAAGTCATCCCCGTTGCATAATTGCATTTTGCCTGTAGCGAAATAACGTAGCGTTGCTACAACCTTTTCAATTCCTGTCATGGCATGAGAACGAGAGGTGCTAGGACATATTTTATCAGCAATTAACCCAGTCACATATTCAATACCACTTTTGTTTAACCTGTATCTTCTGATTAGTTCTTTGTCAGAATATATTTGCAGTACATCTCGTCTAGCGGTGGTTTGTACAATACCTATGGCAGCCATATTGGATGTCTTAAGAAAATTCTTAAGGACTTAAGTAAGCTCATGAGGTATCTTAAACTTAAGCAAAGAACTAAGCACTGAGAAGCTCTGTGAATATGACTTAAGAAATTACTTAAAACTTAAGTTGGTTGTTAGGGAAACTAAGATTTCTTTGTGGATTTAATCATTCTTAGGGCTTAAGAAAATTCTAAGAAGCTTTGTGAATACCGCCCCTGGTCCATTCCATGAGACGAAGAGGTGTTGCTTGCATCGCAACCAGAGATGGACACACACACTTTTGATTTGTAAATTGACATTTTTGCATGTTCGTGTTGCCTGTCGCAAACCGAAATTGTTTCAGATTTGGTAAAAAACATAACTTTGCATTAAAACTTATTCAATGTTGTTACAATATCTGCCACGGTCCGGTTAAAGGTGCCCTGCATGGAGCTAAGGCCTGTCCGGATTTTACTGTACTATGCACTTCCGTTAGTAAATGGTAGTAACTGCCGAACCTAGCTCTCTCTCACTCTCTTGCTTTGATGTGGGCTTTACACCCCCACAAGCTATTGAAACATGGTGGCAGCGGAAAAGAACTATCTTACTCACTGTGTGGTTTGTGTTTAACCCTACTTTTCATTGACAATTGACTCTCTGTGTCGAATTAACTTAAATTCACAGCGGCGTTTTACCGTGTGTAAAAAAACACGTGGATCGAGTGTGTTGCATATTCAAGGATCAAGTGGTAAATACTGATTGAATCTGACTGGATTATTGACTTTAGCTGTATATGTTATCTTTATCTTACTTGAAACATTTAAATTCAAGTCAATCACATGAATTCTAACACTTGAAAATGTCATCTGACGAATCTACGGAAGCTCAGTCTAGTCAAAACATGGCAACTACTGTCAATGATGCGAGTCATATTAGACCGCCTGAACCTCTGAAATTAGGGGATGATCCTGTTAAAAACTGGACATTATGGAAACAAATGTGGGGTCATTACTGTGTAATCACCGATAAGAGTGATGAAACTTGTAATATGAAAATCTTCAGATCTTACTTAATTTCTACCATGGGAGTAGAAGGACTACAAATCTACAACTCATGTGATCCTTCAGAAACTGACTCTGTAAAGAACATTACTGAGAAGATTGATTCACACATTCTTGGTGAAAGCAATGAGACTTTTGAAAGATACAAGTTTAATACTAGAACTCAG